TCTTGTGTGTACACATTTCCTTCCGGGTCCCACCCAGAGACCTAAGGTTAGAAATGTCATCATGATATTTTCTACTGACTAATTAAAAACCTCACACACAGACACATATTTTACATAGACAAAGCCCTTCATAACGTGTGAGCAGTACTGGTGAGAACATTTTTTTTGTATATCTTTAAGGCATGGGCTTCCAGGAATCCCTTCAATGAGTCTATTGAAATCTTTTTCAACAAATCCGAGGACTGCAATTACAACTGAGATTTTGGATGTTCCGATGTACCACATTTTTGAAATGCCGATTTCAAAGTCCTTGTAGATTGACAGCTTTTTGAAGATCTTCAAAGATATATTGCAGCCTGCAGGGACTGCCATATCAATAAGGAGACACATTTGTGTGTGAGGTCTCTTATAACAATGTCTGGGCGGTTAGCTTTCATTGTTCTGTCTTTGTGTATTATGTAGTCCCATAGAAATGTAACAAGTCCTATCTCCGTAACCGGGTCTGGGTGGTGTTCATACCAGTTTCTTTCAGTTTCCTTCCCGTAGAAGTTACAAATTTTCCAGTGCAGATATTGGCCCACTCTGTCATGTCGGGTTTTATATTCAGTGGGTGCCAATACCGTGCAACTCGTCACCGAATGATCAATCGTTTCTGGATATTTATCACAGAATCTGCTTTCTGGGCTAAAACAATATTTTGTTATATGAGCTTGGTAATTTCTAGTTAACAAGCATCGTCATGAGCAGCAGGGACAAAACCTTCGGTTTCAGTTTTTAACTCTGCACTACATAGCCACTGATGGGTACGAGTTTTGTCTACGTCAGCTTGTTTGGTACGGGCAGAGTATTGGCCATGAAGCGGTTTATCTTGCCATTGATTCTGTATCTGGTCGGTTGCATTTGTCTTTGCCTTCTTTTTTAAGTATTTTGCAGCTTCATTCAGTGTATTGTTCTTTACTTGTATTTCTGCACCCACTTAAAACTTTGAAATTGTTGGCTTCATTTATTACGGAATGAAGACGCTTACTACTTTCATGTTCTTTGAGACATATCATCATCTAGTCTTCTTTACATTTTAGGTATCTTGGAAGGCTATTTTTGAAGTTTTGTAAGAGAGTTCTAGTTGAACTAATCCTATACCTCGTTCAGATCTGGGTACATACAGATGATTAACATCAGCTTTGGGATTTCGAAATGGATCATATGCAACACATAGTTAATCTTGTAATTTTCGGCTATGTTGATAAAATTATTATTATTATTATTTTTTTTTTTTTTTTTATTTCTGGTGTGTACACATTAAGTTCCGCGTCCCGCCAAGAGACCTTAGTTTAAAAATGGCATCATGATGTTTTCCTCTGACAAAAAATAAAAATAAAAATAATAATTAAAAAAATATTTACATAAAGAAAGCGCTTCGTAAATTATGGCTGTACCCGTAAGAACAATTTTTTATAATTCTTTAAAATCTGAGCTTATTTGGTTGATCACGTCATTTTCCCTTCAATTAGTTTACTGGAATCTTTTCCAAACAATCCCAGGGCTCCAACTACAAGAGTGATATGTAATGTTCCCATGTGCCACATTTTTGAGATTTCGATTTCAAGGTCCTTGTATCTTGATAGCTTTTTGAAAATCTTCAAAGATATATTAAAGTCCATCGGGACTGCCATATCAATAAGGAGGCAATTTTTTGTTTGCGGTCTGTAATAACAAAGTCTGGGCGGTTAGTTTCATTGTTCTGTCTGTTTGTATCTTGTAGCCCCATAAAATTGTAACGGGTCCAATCTCCGTAACCGGGTCTGGGTGGTGTTCATACCAATTTCTTTCAGTTTCCTTCCCGTAGAAGTTGCAGATTTTCCAGTGAAGCTATTATTATTATTATTATTATTATTATTATTATTATTATTATTATTATTATTATGTTTTGTTACAGAGAGTATGTTTGTTTTAATACATATCTTATTATTCATTTATTTTTTGTTTTACAGCCATACATATTTGTAGAGAGAAAATAATTTATTTTTTCTTTCATTCTTTTTTATGCTTCCATTGTTTCATTCATTTTTTCTTTTTTTAATTTCATTCTTTGTTTCTACAATTTTTTCTTTCTATTCTTTCATTCATTCTCTCTTTCATTCTTTGTTTCTTTCTTTGTTTCTTTCTTTAATTCTCTCTTTTATTCTCACTTTCCTTCTTTCTTTGTTTCCTCCATTCTTTCTTTCTTTCATTCTTTCTTTCTTTCTTCCATTCTTTCTTTTATTATCAATTTCATTCTTTCTTTCTTCCTTTTTCATTCCTTCTTTCATTATTGCTTTATTACATTCTTTCTTTCATTCTCACTTTAATTCTTTCTTTCTTTTTTCATTCTTTATTTCTTTCATTCTTTCTTTCCTTCTGTATTCCATTCTTTCTTCCATTCTTTCTTCCATTTTCTCTTTCATTCATTCTTTATTTGGTCTTTTCATTTTTTTTTCTTTCTCATTTCTATCTAAAACAAATCTAAAAATATTTTCTGACTAAAGCAATTTTTAATTTGTAAACTGCAAAGTAGTGATAACCTGTAGAAAACGAGTCAATCAATTACTTTTTATGGATTGATTCATTTTCCAAGGCTTATCAAAGCTTTTCAGCATTTTTAAAGCCAGAAAATATTTTAGATGCTAATATATCTCTATCTATAAAAGGCAGGATGTGTGTGTGTGTGTGTGTGTGTGTGCGCGCGTGTGTGTGTGTGTGTGTGTGTGTGTCTGTGTAACGAATGCACGGCCGCAATTTTCGATGGATTTGCACTAAAATTTTCATGCACATGCTCCAAGTTAGCGAAAAGCCAAGACCGACTTTGCATTTTCCAACTCCCATCGATAGTGGAAATAATCGATTTTTTTCATGCTTCTATAGCACTTATTTTCTGCTGGCCAGAGTAAGAGTCTATAGCTGGCTGCCACAAATAGGAAAGAAGATTCTATTGGCCAGCGTGAGAGCCAACAGCTGACAGACACGAATGTTAACTAGCATGCTAGCATGCAAAAAGAGTCGATAGCTGCATTCGTCACATGTGGTAAAAATTTAAATCTGCATGGCACTTTACTCCAATTGGCTCATTCGCTTGCTTAAACTCAACGTTGATTCGGATTCCGCAGAACTGGGTTGGGTGTGAAAAAGTATTTGTTGTTAACATTCTTTTTTTTCATTCGGTTTTCCAGTTACGAGTCCTTTTTTTAAAGCTGACCGTTTTGTGTTCATTTTTTTAGTTCTTTTTTCGTTACAGATTTAATGTTTAGTGTAGAGCTTAGAAAACATTCGCAGTGTGAGATAGGCAAGAAGTAAGGCCTGTAGCAACATCAGCACGGTAAAGGCCACTTCTTTAAAGGCAAGGGAGTGGAAAAATATTTTAAGTCATAGCGATTGATGTATAATCGTACTATTTTTGTATCAAGCACGGGCAACGCCGGGCCATGCTGCTAGTATATATATATATATATATATATATATATATATATATATATAGTTAATAACGATTTAGTGATAAAAATCTTACTATTTAACCCATAACTACGGGAAAAAAGGATAAATGGCTTTATACCATTATCAATGATATTCGCGCGTAAGTGAATATAAATAAATCAACTGGAATAGAAACTACGCTGTCCCATTAAGAATTCCGAGCCATAATCCAATACACCACCTGCACATCCAAGCTTTATCACCTGTTATTCCCAAGCGATTACTCATGTGGATATTGAGCAGGCTCAACGTTGCTTAACTTCGGTAAACGTACAAAAACTGGTGTCTCAACATGTTTTGGTCGTTCAGACTGTTGATTTTTTTATTGAGCTAATTTCTTCTTCTTCTTCTTCTTCTTCTTCTTCTTATTATTATTATTATTATTATTATTATTATTATTATTATTATTATTATTTCTATAAGTATAATTGCTGTAAGAATTTCTTTGCTTAAAACTTGCTTCTGAGTATTTTTCTTTCTTTTTTAAAGAAATCTATTTTGTAAATTTTTCGTCCAATTTCCTTTCAATCGTCCATTTTGTCTTCTTGTTTCTCAATTTTCATTTCTCGGCTCGTCGCGAGAGAAACATTAATAAGTTCCTTTCTTTTCCACAAATGTCCTTGTCTCTTTTGCGGCTCTTAACTCTATTCACCTTTAGTCTTTTGCGTTCTTTTTTTTTACCTCAATATTCAACCTACCTTTTGTCCATCCAATTTTTTTCACTTGTCTCTTTTTTTCTCCCCTGTTCATCAGACATTTTCTTTGGCCGGAATCTCATTTATTCCTTATTTTTGTCTCTTATACCTTGGCATGTTCTGCTTCGTTCATTGAAAGCTTTTCAATCCTGGACATGCCACATTCGACCTCACCTCATCATCGAATTACGCTCCTTATTCTCAATGCTTTATTTACTTCTCTGCATGACATCACCTCTATTTGATCGATATCTCCGTAATTACTTTCTTTAGAAAATATTAGGACAGGTTAAAATTCATAGGAGAAGGGAAAATCCTATCTTTTCTCAGGTATAATTTTTCATCAGGGCAAACATGCTCGCATCCGTTGAACAAAACGACACACGATGAAGTAATAGTGCCATTAATTAATCAGATTCGTCAAAGAGTTCTCTGATACTTATGTTTCCATTGCGAATGTAAAGGGGTTAATTTCTTCTATTGTGTGCGACGCTGTGGTAATAGTGGACTTTGGAAAACGAAAAACTGGAGAGGGATATGAAGGAATAAAGATTGCAAAAAATGAATGAATGAAAATAGGGATGTCAAAATGTACGTGGTAGAAGAAAGGAATGATGAGAAGATGAACTAGAAACTGGCAAAAAGCTCATGATGAATGGATTGATAAAGAAAAAGAATAAGGATGATGCGAAATGAATGCATAAAAAAGGAGGACCAAAGAAGATGGATTGTCTAATTCTCGATTTAAAAAAAAAAAAGAAGAAATTAAGGAAATGAAAGATCATAGTAGAACAAGGACTAGCAGGCGGTAGATGAAGAAAAGGCGGAGGAGAAAAACGAAAAGTAGAGGTGGGAAAGAGGAGAGTTAAAGGAGAAGGGGACACGGACGAGAGGAGGAAATGTCGACAGAGGAAAAGAAAAGGAGGAGGAAAATAAATGGAGGAGTAGGAGTAAAAGAAAATTAGGAGGAAGAAAAGTAATAGGAACATAGGAGGAGGAGGAAAAGGAGGGAGTGAAGAAGAAGGAGGAGAGTTGGAAGAGAAATATGAAGAAAAGAGGAGAAAACGGGGAGGAGGAAGAAAGGAAAAGGAGGAGGAAAAGAAATGGAGGAAGAGGAGTAAAAAAAAAAAGTAGGAGGAAAGACGTAATAGCGACATAAGAGGAAGGGGAAAAGGAGGGAGTGAAGAAGAAGGAGGAGAGTTGGAAGAGAAATATGAATAAGCGAGGAGAAAACGGCGAGGTGGAAGAAAGGAAAAGGAGGAGGAAAAGAAATGGAGGAGGAGGAGTAAAAGAAAAGTAGGAGGAAGAAAAATAATAGCGACATAAGAGGAAGGGGAAAAGAGGGAATGAAGAAGAAGGAGGAGAGTTGGAAGAGAAATATGAAGAAAAGAGGAGAAACCGAAGAGGAGGAAGAAAGGAAAAGGAGGAGGAAAAGAAATGTAGGAGGAAGAGTAAAAGAAAAGTAGGAGGAAGAAAAATAATATGAACATAAAGGAAGGGGAAAAGAGGGAGAGAAGAAGAAGGAGGAGAGTTGGAAGAAAAATATGAAGAAGTGAGGAGAAACCGAAGAGGAGGAAGAAAGGAAAAGGAGGAGGAAAAGAAATGTAGGAGGAAGAGTAAAAGAAAAGTAGGAGGAAGAAAAATAATATGAACATAAAAGGAAGGGGAAAAGAGGGAGAGAAGAAGAAGGGAGGAGAGTTGGAAGAAAATATGAAGAAGTGAGGAGAAACCGAAGAGGAGGAAGAAAGGTAAAGGAGGAGGAAAAGAAATGGAGGAGGAAGAGTAAAAGAAAAGTAGGAGGAAGAAAAATAATATGAACATAAAAGGAAGGGGAAAAGAGGGAGAGAAGAAGAAGGAGGAGAGTTGGAAGAGAAATATGAAGAAGAGAGGAGAAAACGGAGATGAGGAAGAAAAGAAAAGGAGGAGGAAAAGAAATGTAGGAGGAAGAGTAAAAGAAAAGTAGGAGGAAGAAAAATAATAGCGACATAAGAGGAAGGGGAAAAGAGGGAATGAAGAAGAAGGAGGAGAGTTGGAAGAGAAATATGAAGAAAAGAGGAGAAACCGAAGAGGAGGAAGAAAGGAAAAGGAGGAGGAAAAGAAATGTAAGAGGAAGAGTAAAAGAAAAGTAGGAGGAAGAAAAATAATATGAACATAAAGGAAGGGGAAAAGAGGGAGAGAAGAAGAAGGAGGAAAGTTGGAAGAGAAATATGAAGAAGTGAGGAGAAACCGAAGAGGAGGAAGAAAGGAAAAGGAGGAGGAAAAGAAATGGAGGAGGAAGAGTAAAAGAAAAGTAGGAGGAAGAAAAATAATATGAACATAAAAGGATGGGGAAAAGAGGGAGAGAAGAAGAAGGAGGAGAGTTGGAAGAGAAATATGAAGAAGTGAGGAGAAACCGAAGAGGAGGAAGAAAGGTAAAGGAGGAGGAAAAGAAATGGAGGAGGAAGAGTAAAAGAAAAGTAGGAGGAAGAAAAATAATATGAACATAAAAGGAAGGGGAAAAGAGGGAGAGAAGAAGAAGGAGGAGAGTTGGAAGAGAAATATGAAGAAGTGAGGAGAAACCGAAGAGGAGGAAGAAAGGTAAAGGAGGAGGAAAAGAAATGGAGGAGGAAGAGTAAAAGAAAAGTAGGAGGAAGAAAATAATATGAACATAAAAGGAAGGGGAAAAGAGGGAGAGAAGAAGAAGGAGGAGAGTTGGAAGAGAAATATGAAGAAGTGAGGAGAAACCGAATAGGAGGAAGAAAGGTAAAGGAGGAGGAAAAGAAATGGAGGAGGAAGAGTAAAAGAAAAGTAGGAGGAAGAAAAATAATATGAACATAAAAGGAAGAGGAAAAGAAGGAGAGAAGAAGAAGGAGGAGAGTTGGAAGAGAAATATGAAGAATTGAGGAGAAACCGAAGAGGAGGAAGAAAGGTAAAGGAGGAGGAAAAGAAATGGAGGAGGAAGAGTAAAAAAGAAAGTAGGAGGAAGAAAAATAATATGAACATAAAAAGGAAGGGGAAAAGAGGGAGAGAAGAAGAAGGAGGAGAGTTGGAAGAGAAATATGAAGAAGAGAGGAGAAACCGAAGAGGAGGAAGAAAGGAAAAGGAGGAGGAAAAGAAATGGAGGAGGAAGAGTAAAAGAAAAGTAGGAGGAAGAAAAATAATATGAACATAAAAGGAAGGGGAAAAGAGGGAGAGAAGAAGAAGGAGGAGAGTTGGAAGAGAAATATGAAGAAGAGAGGAGAAAACGGAGATGAGGAAGAAAAGAAAAGGAGGTGGAAGAAAATGAGAAAGAGGAAAATGTGAAAGTAGTAGAGGAGTAGAAGGAAGAAGAAAAATGGACCGGAAAAGAAAAAATGAAGAAGTAAATTTTAAATTGGAGAATGAAAAAGACACGGAAGTGTAGGTGTTGGGAAATATCAGAAGATTGTATCGAGTTCCCAATTCCCTAAATGGGACTTGGACGAAGATTTACCGTCGATTTTTATCTACCGTGAAGCGAGGATGAAGAATGAGAAACTCAGTCTTATTTAGTATCAAGAGGCACTGCAGTCTTATGTCAGCGTGCCATTACACGGCCATTCTTTTTTTTTACTTTTACCATTTTGCTTTCTTCAAATTGGATATGATATTCTCTTTTTCCTTCTTCAACCTTTTTTTTTCATGCTGCTATTTTTCCTCTCACTTTCTACATTCTTTAGTTGTCTTTTTTGAGTTTTTACAATTTACATTTATTTTTCTCTTTCTTCTTTTTATTATATTGTAATGTTTTATTTATTCCTTTTACTTTTTAATTTCTTTTCTGTTCGATGTATGTGTTGGGTTTCTTTGCCTCGTTCATTCCATCTTGATCATTTTATTTCTATTTTTTTTATCTCTTACAGATATGTTCTATTTCACTGGCTTCTTTTTATTGGGATCGCTGGATAGGTCTATTAGGTCAGTGACATAAAAATGAAGATAAATTTGATTTTTCTTTCTTGCTGTCTCTATAGTCGGTTCTCCGTGAACGCGAAAAGAAGCGTCGTCAAGAAAGTGATTTTATTATCTAGTTAACATATGCAGTTTTTGCAAGATTGAAAATCTTACAGATGCAAACTCATTCAAGATTATAATTTTTTAGCTGGATCATCATTGTTCTGTTCACTTGTAAAATGTGATATCCCTGTTCCGAGTATGCAGTTCTGTGAGGATTGCTAGCAAATCCCCGTTGAAGGAAACTTCTCAGATATATTTGTGCTTGTTCAATACCCATTGAAACCATTTCTGGTTTATAGTGAAACTATGTTGAGCAGGACTTAGTTACAGTTTCTGTAAGCGAATGTATCATCTGGCATGATCAACAATTTCGAACAAGTCCAGTACGCTAGAAACATCGGTCACGATGACTTGTGGCTTCGTGCTAGCACATCTATTGCCGAATGATTTCGTCTCCCGCAGAATACAACCAGTCATATGGATGTGAGGTATTTTCCCTTCCTACACCAATAAAATCAAGGTCACCTTCATTACAAATTGGCGATGGTGAGATTCGAACTAGTGACTCATAAAAGCGATATAATGCTATATAATCACTTTCTTATTCCTACTTTCAGTGACTTTACGCTCACCACCCTATGAGAGAGAGAGTCAGTGAAAGAGACAGAGGCAGAGAGAGAGAAACGGAGAGAGAGAGAGATAGGTACACTTTATATACCAATATAGAATCGCCTGTCATCGTATTTCATATAGTTGTAATTTACGTCAAAATTTCGGGGAAAATTTATCATTTGTTATATTATTTGCTTACAAACTATGATCTGATATTTGTTGTTATTATCAGAAAGTGTTTTCTATGTGTTCCCTGCGATTTATATCAGGTGCCTTTTGATCTGCGTAACCTTCACAATATTTCGTACAGTACAATTTATTTAATCTATTAAAAAAAGACAGGTGGATTAATGTGTTGATCCATGAATATGGTGATATACATCGTTGTGAAAATTAATTGAAACAACGGCTTTAGTTTTCTTTCTTTCTCCATACGGTTAGTTTTAAATCTACTGGAGTGACAGAGTGTAATCGATTTCTATTCTTTCCTCAGATTAGGTCATTTAGTGTACAGTAATATGAATCTATTTTCCGGGTGTTTCATATAATTTGATTGGCCTTGACAAATAATGCGTCATCTTCGATTGCATCAGATTTTCATCACGCCTAGATACTATTGTCTGGACTGTCGATTAGTTATCCTACGGCCTTTATCTGCGATGAACGTTACTTCAAGTAAGCGTATGAGAATTTTAACGCTGCACGAAAACACCGGCAAACCTTACCTGTGAGCAAAACTAACTACTATCGACTGGTTCTGAAACTCTCTTGATTTAAATTGAGAATCTGTGGTCAATCTTCAAGGAAATACCACGGGGAATGGAGATATGAAGTAGCAACATGGTCAGTGGGTCATGTTAGATTTTGAAAATACGGAAAACCTAAATAATAACGGAATTATTCATTTTGTTTCAATTAATTTGCATAAGGTTGTAATAATTTTGAGTTCATTCCCACGGTTGGGAAGTACATTGAACTTATTGGAGGCGTGACGGGGAATAACTCAACAGTAGTAAATAAGAATTAGACAAGATATCTCTAGACATTGTCAGTGAAACTAGAAAAATATACCCACACAGATTAAATAAAGTTTTCAGTTCGAAGTTACCCGCCAGTTAATCGAATCGACAATCACCTGATGAAGGTCGGAGGATATACCGTTTGAAACTATACCAACAAAAAAGATGAGGATAATCGTTCACATGAAAATAATGATATAGTTGTACATTTCTACACTGGGAAAATGATTCTTCTTCTATTACATGTAAATTTCTTGATATCAAATGTTGAATTTTCCGAGCCTGTAATACCTCCCTATATAAAAGATAACGCAACACAAAAGTACAAAAAGCATATTGTGTTTGCAAGTCTGAGTAAATCGTCTGTATTAGCGTTGTAGTTGTTTCTGAATAGCTACAAGGATTTTCTGGTTTTAGTCAACATATTTATATGAATTACAGGAAGACATTTTACTGAAAATTAAATGAAACCTACAAATTTATAAATCCCTTTAAAAAATATTGATCGTGTAGTTCACATTTCTTCTTTTAATAAAAACATATACTTTATCTTATTAAAATGGCTTACAAATGTGAAGGTCAATGACACAATGGATAGCAATTGTTCAGAATACCTCGTAGTTGTGGTATTTTGACAATGATGGATTGCATTAGTTTGCATTAGTTTGTATAAGTCCAAAACGGTGCAAATATCAACCGCGTGTCACAGTAAGAGAGTCAGCAAAGCAGAATTCACCAGACACAGCTTGTCGTCCTCTCTGCCCAAAGGCAGAGAGGAACCCAAACGAGGCTATGCCGAAGGTCAGAGTCTAGTTTAGGGAGGAAGATAGCTACCCGATCACGTGTATTGTCAACGGACAACTTTTGCTCGAGCTTAAGAGCTTAGAATCCCCCACCAACGTTAAAAAACGGCCTTGTGTCACATCCTGCCTTGTGTCACATCTTGCCTTGTGGGGAAGTCTTGAATAAATACTGAGTGCCACAGTAATTTTGAAGCTTCGAATCGCTTCCCACTCCTAGGTTCGAGAGATAGGCTAAGATCCCTTGGGGAGGTACACTAAGCCAACGGGCAGCATGCGTTCCCTTGAAGATTTTCCTCCTGCTGCTAGGCAAAAAAAAAACAGCCACAGAAGGAAACCGTCCTTTTCTTAATACAATCTACGTAGTAGGGTTTGAGACAAGTGCTGATGATATTCTCGACATGAATGGGAAGAAGACAGAAAACTCTGCCAAGATAACGGAATACAGAAAATTACACAAGGAAATAAAGACCGAATGCAGGCAAGCTAAAGAAGAATGGCTAAATGAAAAATGTGCAGAAATAGAAAGATAGGTACTACTAGCAAATGAGACATGCAAAAACAAATATGACAACTAACTGGACAAAAAGCATGCTCGTCAACAGTCTGCCTAAAATCAAAGGATGGAACGCTCATATTAGAGAGGGAAAAAAATCTTCAACGCTGGCACGAGTATATTGGAGAACTCTTCCACGACGTAAGGGAACAACAAGCAATACACAGAACTACCGACGGACCTTGAATTCTGAAAACCGAAGTAAAAGCCGCACTGGCCAAATTGGAAACAAAGCAGATGGGCCAGACGGAATTGTAGCGGAAACGCTGATAGCCTTAGATGATTTTGGCATGTAAAAGATCACCAAAATGACAAATGAAATCTACAACACAGAGATATACCGGAAGACCTCAAGAGATCTATCTACATAGCTATGTCTAAGAGAACAAACGCAAACGAATGCGAACTCCACCGAACAATAAGGCTACTGAGCCACGTGACAAAACTCATCATCCGTATTCTGATGAACAGAGCGCGCGGCAGAATCAGCCCAGAGATAGGACAAGAAAAGTGCGGGTTTGTTAAAGACACTGGAACAAGGAACGCGATATTCATGCTCAGAATGTTATCACAAAGAGCGATACAGCTGCTAACGAAATGTACCTATGTTTCATAGACTACGCAAAGGCCTATGACAAAGTAAGCCACAAGGATCTGATCAGCAACCTTGATATATTCGGCAAAGATATCAGAATAATCAAGAACCCATACTGGCAGCAAACAGCATGCATGTGCATAGGGAATAAGTTCAGTGACTACAGAAAAATAGAAAGGGACGTAAGGCAAGGATGCGTCTTGTCACCCGACCTGTTCATTTTATAGAGCGAAGCAATTCTGAGAGAACTGGAAACTCTACAGTGATTTAGCATTGGCGGTCACAATCTTAACAATATAAGATACGCAGATGACACAGTACTGATAGCAGACACGGAAACGAAATTCCACAATATCATACAGAAGGTATCGACGGAGACTGAGAAGAAGGAACTAGGCATAAATTATAAGAAAACAAAGTGCATAGTTATCTGTAAGAGGATGGGCCTGAAATGCGATCTGTATGTCGGGAACACTAGAATCAAGCAGACGTGGAATTTTAAGTAACTGGGGAGCGTCTAGCCAGAAGACGGTAAAATTTGTAGTCGAATTGGAATGGCCAAGGACACATTCCAAATGTTGGGCAGAGTACTGCAAAACAGGAAGATATCTTTGGTAACAAAGAAAAAGAATACTGAACTGTTACGTGACATCTGTCCTTCTTCAAAGATGACGAAGAGACTCGAGGCGACAGTGATGTCATTCTACAGAAGGATGCTAAGTGTGTCATGGACCGAGCGTGTGAGATCTTAGAGGGGTTGCAAACAAGGAGGATGCTTATACTTTATATCAGGAAGAGGCAGCTGAAGATTCTGGGACAAATAATGAGGAAGGAATGGCTGGAGAATATGATACTAACGAGACGAGTAGAGGGAAAGAGAGACAAGGGAAGACAACACGTGATATACCTGGCGGACTTACGCAGGTGGTTGAAAGAACGCGGTCTGGGGAAGGAAGCAGAGAGAAGTATCTTGATGAGGACTCCAAGGAATAGAATGAGGTGGAGAGCCATGATCGCTTACGTCTTACGTTTACGTGTCACATAAAAAGAAAAGACGACAGAACCCAACGGATATAAAGAACATTCAAAACAATTCATAATAAAATTAAGAAATAAATAATGAAAAAAAATTATAAGCTAAACATATTATGTGCTAGACAATTTTTATCGCAAGAATCTATCTGATGTATTTAAAAATTTTCTGTTAGTTCATGCTTTGAACATAGCTGCCTTAGCTTTACTTGTGCTCCTGCTATATACTTAAATATTTTTGTTAAAGTCTAAAGAAGAATATGCAATGTTATTGATCCTAACCTGGTATCTCGACTTTATATATATTCCCATTGCGGTAACGTATTTTTCTGTGCATTTTCCTTGTAATTGTTCTGGTGAACTTTCCTCCATTTTTTATAGACTTTAGGAATTTAATCTTATTCTTAGATTTGCGGCCAATTCTCCTGATTTTACCGCTGCAATGACTAGATATATCCGTAAGTTCTATGCTAACATTTTCTTCTATCGCACTACACGCTTCTTGCTTCCCAGTCAAATGTAATCTTCAAAGTTTTAGGCGCAATGTAGATGGTTATCTTGTTAAATGTTGTTATTTATTGTTCTTGCTATGTAATAGTGGTGGATTTCTCATATTCTGTAACCCTCGGTAATACCTTGCTTCTTAATGTTCATACTACATTGTTTGGGATCAAGAGATTAAAAAATTAATTCAGTTTTAGATTTGGAAACCTGCTGTAAAAATTCCGCACATTTCATATGAATTCGTGCTTGAATTACTGAATGTAATTGAGTAAACATTTCATCATAAATTGAAAATCACCGGAAAAATTTGCATTCTCTCTTGATTTTCATCTATTTCTCAACAAGATATTCAGAACTGATTTTTTAAAAGTTAAGCATTCGTTAATATATATATATATATATATATATATATATATATATATATATATAATTATTCGAAGTAAACTAAAACATTTTTCTAAAAAAAAATTAGTAAGTGATAAGCGAGGCTAACAATCAGTTGATAAGACCCCAAAGTGTTGAAACAAAATGGCTTTTTTTGTAGGGATTTTATGTTTATGTTATAATTTTCGAATAAATATTTATATTTGCTCTTCTCTGTATTGAACACTCTTTTAAGAA